GCGGGCAACAAGGACTCCGCTTCGAGATACGGCGCCATCTCCACGGACAGGTTGCTCTCCTCGTCGCCCGTACACGCTCCGGTGCCGGAGAGGTTCGCCGGCAAGTCGACGGACAGGTACATCGGTGATTCGCCCGTTCACGAACGATACCATAGACAGGAGGCGTCGTCCGGTGTTCATCATGATCGTTACACGACGATATCGTCGAACGCCGAGAGATTCCTCTCGAGCTCACCCAATCCAGAGGCCCCGCATCAGCGATACTCGTCGACGGAGAGGTCTCTGCAAGCGTCCAGCGGCGCCAACGAACAGAGACGATTGTACACGGACCGCGGAGTCGAAACGGTTTGCCAGAAGTATACCGATCGATCCAACGGCTCCCCCGTGCCCACGGACTTCGGTAGATACTCCAGCTTTCAAGAAGTCGCCAACACTCAGTCCAGGTACGTCAGCACCGGCGATCGTTTCAACGAGCTCGCGATACAACGGTGCGGTCAGTCGCGAGCCAACGACCGATTCTGCGTGTCCACCGATCGCTATCTGGCGAACTCCTCTCCTGGACACGACGGAAGGCTCACCGGCACCGACTCCAGGTACGCCGTATCCGCATCGTCCACCGAACGACTGCTCTCGGCTACCTCCTCCTCGTCCTCGTCCTCCAGTGACACCGTCGCCAGGTATCACTCATCCTACGCGAACACCACCGTCACGCAATCGTCCTCGTCCAACGACCGCTTCACCTCCATCTCGCCCACACCCGACACCGGAACCGCCACCCTCAGAGTCGGAACCTCGACCGCGAACTCGTCCGCGACCGCGACCGGAACACCCGGTTCCAGCTACCAGACCGCGACCAAGACCGGCGTGGACAAGTACCTCCAGGTGTCGAAGTCTATACAGAGCTACGGTAACGATCGCTACAACGTGGCCAATCCCGGGGATCAGTTCGACAGGCTCAGCCAAGACCGGTACGACAGGTTCTCGAATCCGGTCAGCAACGGGGATCGATTCACACCTTCGACCACTGCTACTGATCGTTTTCACTCTGCTGCTGATCGATACTCTCCGGCTCGTACCGCGGACAAGTACTTGTCTCTGCCTAAGCCCAAAGACCGATATACCGGTCGCATAACACCGATCTCCTCCTGCGGCACCTCGGTCGCCGCCGCCGCCTCCACCGACCGGACTTATGGCTCGTCCAACGCCACCGGAAGCTACGTACCACCAACGGCCCACACGCCGGTCGAACGATACGTGCCTCAGCCGCCTCCGGAGGTGCTGTACCCGGACAGATACGTCGACAGGTACGTGCCACCCTCGGCACACACGCCGACGGATCGTTACGTGCCCACCAACGATCCCGGTGACCCGTACATGAGACGAGATCTCGGCTTCCACCATCATTACCGGCTACCACCGCCTGCCGGATATCCGTACCATCAGTCGCACTTCCGGCTACGCGGTTTCGCTTACGCGTCACCGGGCCGCCTGGGAGGGAGTCCCGGCTCCAGTAGCTCCAGCAGCTCCGCGTCCAACCAGAGAGACGGTTTCTCCATGTCGCCGTTGTTGAGACCCAAAGTGCGAGCGTCGGCTGTCGAATTCCCGACCACGTCCACCGGTGTCGTCGGACGTCACGTCTGCACCAATCCACCGTCTTGCTGCAACGAGGCTTCCGGGAACGGGAGGTCGTGCTGTCAGGCGATCAGGAGGTCCCTGCCACCTGGAGCCCTGCCTTCGATATCCACGCAGCCATCTTGGTGAGTGAAATCTTTGTCTTTTGGGTGCTGGGGTAGATCTTAGGATGTAGACTTTTAGGGTACTCTCGAGAGTACCTTAAGCATCTAGTACCCTATGTACTTAGTCTTTTAAGCAGTGTATGGTGTAAGTTCTGTGTATGTTACAATGTAACATGCAAGTCAAGGAATATGTGCTATGATAACCCCTGCAGGTATTGCATAAACGTTTGATGTCAGGGTCTGAAAGATTTAGCTACAGTCGGAATTTGTTGAATAGTCATACGCTGTTGCAGGTTGGGTTTCATATCCCACGTGTTGCATACTAGGTGCGTTATATCACCGAGTATTAGATCTGATCTTTATATAGCGTGGGAATCGTATGGGGCGTAAAAAGTTACGAGTGCAAACCACAATGTGTAGACGTATGGTGCGGATTTGTAAATGGTTGACCTTTTTGATGAAACAGATAGCACCACATTCTGAATTATGAAGAATATCAGTAATGAAGGTTTAGGAAAAAACCAATCTATTCCCTTGAGATCTTTCATCCTAGTATAAGAAAAATAACATTGAATATTTTGCGTCTTACACAACAGAAGTAACTAACGATCGAGTGAATCTAACAATGGAGATTTTTTTTTAATGCAAACGTATTACGTTAATCTCAGAAACCGAGGGAAAAATGGGTAGAACGGGGCAAAAAGGAATTAATTGCAGCACAAATGAAAGTCAGCGAACAGATAAAAGGATATTGCACGAGTGGAGAGTTGAGCCGTGTAGTCGAGGATTAAGGAGAATACAGAGGGATCCAGATAATATACGTGTTCCTCGTAATCATACGCTTTAATGTTAAAGCTCGTGAATTAGAACGGGCGAGCTTTAATTGCCAGATGAATGCTATTTACGGCGGGCGAAAGAAGCTGCTATTCACCGAGTGGCTAACGGGGGTTGCGTCGTATGTTAATTTCATTTTCCTTCGATATTAACGCGCCGGGGTTTAACTTTTCACGGTGCGTGAATTCGTGCTGGCCTTAATAACCCGTTGCTGACCACGCGTGCTGCATTTTTGCTCGCTAACCCGGAAGTTTACGCCGTATTGCTCCCTCGATGAAATTGATTAAATTCAACCGATGGTCAACCTTCGATTGAAACGTATTAGGCGCTCACTGGAAATGTCATTTCGCTTCAATCGTTCTCTTTCGATAGCTTCGATAAAAATGACCTCTGTATTGCTTGTAATTTCATTTGGAGCTTGGATGATTTGGGAATTTGGAGAGGTAGGAATTTAGAGAATTGAGGACTTAAGAAATTTAGTTGTCCATCTGGAGCTTTGACGCTTTGGATAATCAAGGATTTAGGAATTTGAAGTGATAGGAATTTGGGGAATTGAGGACTTGGGAAATTTAGTGGTCCATTTGGAGCTTGGATGATTTAGGAATTTGGAGAGGTAGGAATTTGTGGAACTGGGGACTTGGGAAATTTAGTTTCCCATGTGGAGCTTTGACGCTTTGGATAATCAAGGATTTAGGAATTTGGAGAAGTAGTACTTGTGGACTTGGAAACCTGAATTGTCCATTTAGAACTTTGGGACTTTGAACAATTGAGGATTCAGGTATTTGTAGATAGAGACTTGGGGACTTTGGGATTTGAGTATTTGTTTGGTTGATCATTTGTTAAACAGATATTCGATGTAGCCACCTGGGAATCAGTACATTTGGGAATTTGGGTATTTATGCTTGAAACCGTGGTTTAGTTTTGAACATTCAAATTGAAGTTCCATGAAAATTCAACATGTAAAAGAAATTCAAAAATGATCCCAATAAGCACTCATTAAGACACCATAAAATTGAACCATCCAATGACCTAAAACTCTCTAGAAATGAAACTCCCATAACACAAGTAATGCTTCTAGCATTTAACAAGTGTAACAGTAGGATAAAAGTTGAGGTGTCCAAGAGGACTTTGTTCTACAGGCTAACGATAGAGTTAGTTTAAAAGAACGTTAGTTGAAAATGGACTGGAATATAGGCCGTGTCCACATTTAGCAATGGCGCGGAAGCCGCGGGAGCGTAGAAAGGGTCGTTACTTTCGTGGTAGTAATCAGGTTAATGGAGTATCGTGGCCCACTTTATTTTTTCATCTTCATCGGATCGCGCGTCCCTCTGACTTTCGCGCAAGCCTCTTCCTTTTCTCGCGTTTCAAAGTCAATGATGCATTACAATCCGAAGCTTTAGCTCGCTACCCGGCCACGGAACCTTGCAGATTTTTTAGATGCATTGTCTTCCGCGTGCACGTACGCTTTTCAACAGAGCCATCTTTTCAATTCGGAAAAAGAATAAAGCTACGTTCTACGCAACTCTACCTCCGCTCTTTAGCGCAGTTGCTTATGGACATTGTTGAAAATCTTGTTCCTTTCTATTGGGCCATACATTGTTTCCGATCGTTACTTTTTACCTTAATTACTATCTTTTATATTTTTATTTTTTTTTCTTGCAATACACTATGTCGGTAAAGTAACAGAATTTTTTAAATTTAAGAAAAACATCATCTGTTAGGACAATATGTTATATGCTACCATCTTCAAACATCACATATGTGTACCAGCTCATATGTGTATCACATGTGTGTACCAAAACTCACATAAACAATGTTAAAACAAAATTAGAATTAACATTAACAGTAACAATAAAGGGTACTAAAATCAATCCTCCCCAATAAAGTACAGTCACAATATGATCACATATGTGTACCAGCTCATATGTGTAGCACATATGTGTACCAAAACTCACATAAACAGTGCTAAAACAAAATTAGAATTAAAAGTAACAGTAACAATAAACAGTAATAACATCAATCCTCCCCAATAAGATACGATCATAATATGATCACACATGTGTACCAGCTCATATGTGTAGCACATATGTGTACCAAAACTCGCATAAACAGTGCTAAAACAAAATTAGAATTAAAAGTAACAGTAACAATAAACAGTAATAAAATGAATCCTCCCCAATAAAGTATAGTCACAATATGATCACATATGTGTAGCAGCTCATATGTGTATCACATGTGTGTACCAAAACTCGCATAAACAGTGCTAAAACAAAATTAGAATTAAAATTAACAGTATCAATAAATAGTAATAAAATCAATCTTCCCCAATAAGGATCACAGTATGATAACAAAATTAGGGTTAACATCTGCACAATTACCCATCAAAGAAGCGAGCAGGTAAATCTAAACGTAGGGTAATTTTAATCCCGTCTCGTTAGCGGCAATTTCCTGTTAACCGGAGGGCTGTTTAATTAAAGTCCAGAAACGGCGTCAGCAAATGTTCGCGCCGGAAAACAGACGGATACCGGGATCGGGACCGGGACAGGGTAGTTCCAGTTGAAGTGTACCGAAAGTTGAGGGCACAATGGACCGACAGTTCCCCTGAAAACCGGGCCGTAGAAGGGTGATTCCTTTCGATCTGAAAGGGTGGAAGAGATTACGTCGGCACGCTCGTTCCGCTGAACGTTCAGTTTGCTTTCGGATATCGGCTTTACCCTCGCGAATTCTCTGCGCGAGTTTGCCGAAAGCTTTGTGCTGGCCAAGCCGATTCCGACGTTCCTTCTCTCTGTCCGACTGTCTCGACTTTGTTCCGTCGGGATAAAAAGGGTCTGGTAAATCCGGACGGGTCCACCTCTTCTTCGAGACGTTTCTTTTCTTCGCGCAGTGCTGGATTAAAGGTCTCGGGAGACCGGGACAGGTACAATTATGACTGCAAGGTTGATGTTAATGGTGGCTTTGATAGTCGACTTTGAAGTTAGAGTACTTTAGGTGGGTTTTTTGGGTGGATGTGTTAGTATAATCACGAGGAATAGATATGTGGTAAACACTGCTATGTAGACAAATCTTCATATTTGAAAATTTTCAAATAAACAAATGAACCTTGTTCAACCTCCTTCTAACCTCAAACAATTAAAGCCTAGCAAATAGTCAATTTTTCATACTATTTGCCCCCATTTTCATTTAAACTCAAAGTTATCCGTAAAGAGTTTAATAACATACCCACCCACATAGTTTTTGCGATACAACCGAGAAGACAGGCGATTTAAGCGCGTATTTGATCAGGGAATAGACTTTGGACGAACTTGAAGAAACTTGGTTGTTAGGTTTCATCTTTCATGCATGAGAATTTTCGTTCGGATCAGCCCAGTTTCATGCGAGTTCAGCCGTGTTAGCAACGACGAAGAGCCGCACGATGAAAGTTCGATATCCACGCTCGCGATACAGCTGGATTAACGATGCTATTAGAGCGATGTGCAGGTATTTCTGAAATGAGCTGAGTTAGGATTACAGTTGTATAATTAGAGCGGTACTTGCGAAAAGCTGGACAGTTATTGTGAAACTTCTATCACCTCTGCACTTTAGATATGAATCTTTAATAACCTGCTATTCGGGGACGTTAATGCGGGACTTGCCGGATTATGTCTGCGGGATAAAAATAATAGTATCTTCATTTCAGTGGCAGATGTTGCTAAATGAACATTGTCAGTATTTAATATCAGTTAGTCTACGACAAACTGAAATAAGGACTAGCGAAATTTACTGGTCAGCAAAGAATTTACTGGTCTAGTTGATCAACTATGTTAACCAGGTTAGGTCAACTCGAAGATCAGAGGTCCTTGAAGTGAAAATCATTTTCAAGTTCCTGTTTTTAATTTTCATTTCAAATTTATTTCAATCGAATTTTCCGCAAAATTTTCTGGAAATTATGTCAGTTTCTTGACAGCAAACGTTCGACGTGTCCACAAACTCTTCCGGTCGCGAAAGCTGTTTCTTTCATTCCGCAGCCTTTCGGACGAAATGAAACTCGTTAACAACAATCGTTTCACGGGGTAGAAAAGAAAAACATTGCCTCCGACCTCTCCACGATTTTTCGCTTCTTGCTGGAAACGCGTTGTGCATTAGCCTCGGTGCAGTTCGCATAAAATCAACATCGTGCGGCGTTCAACGAAACTAATGAAACACTTGCCACAC